AGCACAACGCCGCTGCGCCTACACCGTTTCCAGACCCTGCGCGATGAAATCCGCGAGCTCGATGCATACCGCACGCACCGCGTGCTCCTGCTCCCCGCATCCGGCACTGAACCGCGTCATATCCCGCTGGTATTCTCGGAGGAAGGCGCACGCGCGATCCACAGCTACTTGCACCGCGCGCCGGACCTCTGGCACATCTTCGGCCCGGCCATAACGAAGACGCGCATGCAGATCCTCGTCGCGCCGCCGTCGCCGCACGTGCCACTCGGACTCAACGTCGAGTACCACCTCTTCTACAACCTCTCGCCGACTTTGCCTCCAAACATCAGCGCCCTGCGCATCGTATCCGGCGCGGACGATCCCCCGCCGGGGAAGCTCGCCTGGCGCGGCGACCTCGTCATCGCACGAGTCGAAGGCGCTTCGGGGTATGCGGACGCGAATGTTGAAGCGCTTCAGTTCATTGAGATGGCACTACGTAAGCTCTGGGAAACCGACGCTTTGGAAGCATCTGTGCAAGCAGACCGGGATTTCTGTGAGTCAATGCTGTCAAGGCGGGGCGCTGGAAGCTGACGCCGCACAGTGGCCAGTCCTAATCGGATAGGATCGAATCTGCCGCGACACCAGTCGCTACGCGAACAAGTTGACGAGATAGACGCACACCGTATGTGACTGGTTTTCTACTTCAGTTCTTCCTGACTGACAACCTCCTTTCGGCAGTGGGAAAATGACATTGTACATAACGCGCCTCGCCCACGGACTGACACTTATCATTTTGCTCTCTGCTCTTAGTCTCGTTTGTCGTAGTAGCCCTGTACCCGTATGCTCATCTCCACGTATCTCTTGTAGGTTCTCTTGATAAACATCCACGTGTATATAAGCATCCTTCAAGGACCACTTCTGATATATCGTACACTGTGTGCGACAAACACCCTCGTTCGCGGGCTCCGTCATTCGCCGGTCAGGAAACCAGGCTCCGCTTCGCCGCTTTCCCTCATACCATGACCTCGGCGGGCGATTGTCCCGGCGAGATACTGCTCGACATCTTCGACCGCGTCGCTGAGCGCAATCCAGATACATATCGGCGCGTCGAACCTTGGGACCGCAGCGATTTTTATGCATACCGCACGCGAATCGACGCACTTCTTGCTTGCGCTCGCGTGTGCAAGGGTTGGGCACCCTTCGCGCAGCTAATGATCTATCGTGATGTCCACGTCGTCGTTTTCCACGAGCAGGACCTCGCTCATGACCCCTATCGAGGAGAGAGGCGGGCACAGAGCGACCTTGTCCGGGCGCTGCAACGCTCGCCTTTGCTTGGGAGCAATGTGCAGTCGCTGCAAATGAGCCTATTGCAGCGCCGTGACAATGTCATTTCGGACCTCGTGGTATTACTGGCGTTGCTCCCAAACCTTGTCCACTTCGACCTTACAGTGGATGCCAAGGACCTGATCAAACCCTTCGCGGAAACCGACATAGCATCGCTCTCCCGATCTAGTCAAGTCAGATATCTCGCTCTCCGTTCAACCCCAGGGGGTGTTCAGCTCGATATCTACAATCAATTACTACGCATGTTTCCCTCTGTCGAAGTCCTAACTCTGACCTTCCACCTGACTGACGAGGTCTACTCGGGAGCTGTAGATCGTGCATGGGCTGCTGGCGTCCTTCCCAATCTCCGTGATATACGCAGCGCTCGCTGCGTAAACGCTCGAGCCTTCGTGCTTATACCGCTTCTACAGCACGCACCAAACCTTCAGAGCCTCGCTTTGACAGAGGTCTGGAAGGAAGAGCATATCGACAGTATACCTCGTGGTCTGCAGCATCTGGTACTCCATAACGCTTGGTGGACGTTTGACGTAACGCGTCTCACGTCTCTGAAGACGCTGGTCATGATAGGGAACGAACCCCCTGATACGGCTATCCTTGGGTGCCTTCGCATCGCGTCGCCTACCTTGGAGGAACTTGCGCTGTCTGTGGACGTTTTGGAATCGGCCCAGCTCGTCGAAGAAATCGAAAACATCATTCACCAGCGCTTCCCCGCCCTCTCCCGCGTGTACATAGAGATGCTAGAGGGCTACAACCTGAACCTCGTACTTCGTCATGGATCATCGGTAAAGGATATGATACAGAGGATTGGCGAGCACCTCCCAGGGATATTTATCACGTTGACACCGGAGGTGACCACACGCATCGTCCCTTACCTATTGCGCCTCCCCTGATGACTAGTTTATAGTCGCACTTCGACCAATTCAAAGCTCCATACGCCGAGGTGCAGCGCCTACGCATCGTCAAAGGTTGAACATAGATTTAAACGTGTGAGCATGTCCGCCTAGCACCAGCGGGTCCTCACAAGCTACTGCTCCAAGCCATGTAATGATTACACAAGTCGATATTCTGAGACATGACGTGTATACAGTGAGTGACTGAATAGACGTTGGGTCTACGGTCTCGGATCAGACGAGGCCGTCGTCCAGCTCCGACTTTCTGCTTCACACCATGACATCGGCCGACGATTGCCCTGGCGAAATCCTGCTCGACATCTTCGACCGTGTCGTCGGGTGGGATCCAGACACATATCGGCGCTTGGACCCGTGGGAGCCCAGCAACTGCGACGCGCACGGCACGAGAATAGATACTATTCTCGCTTGCACTCGCGTTTGTAAAGCATGGACACCCTTCGCTCAGCTAGCGCTCTACCGCGACATTCACATCGTTGCTTTCCAGGTGTGGTTTCGTGACCGCTATCTAGCAGAGAAGAAGGCAGGGATGCACCTTCATCGAGTGCTCCAGGAATCGCCGTTGCTTGCTACCTATGTGCAGACGCTGCAAATCAGCATCTTCTGGCGAGATGCCATATTGGGTTTAGATATCGATGTCCATGAGCCTACTGCCAACTTCGTGGCGTTGGTCGCGGTACTCCCCAACCTTGCCCACGTGGACCTTACCCTTGATGCTCGCGACTACTCGCGAGAGTTGAAATTATTCGCCGAGGCCGACATCGCATCCCTCGCCCAGTCCAGCAGGGTTCGACATCTCGCCGTTCATTCGCCCATGGAGGATGTTCCAATCGATATCATGCACCAGTTGCTGCGCGCATTCCCCACCATTGAAACCCTAGCCCTACCCACCAACTTCATCTGCAAGGACGACCCAGAGCTTGGGGATCCTGCGTGGCCCGTTGGTGTCCTCCCGAATCTTCGTCATCTACGCTGCTCGGAGCGGACGCCTCGAGACGAGGCTATGATACCGCTGCTACGACATGCGCCACACCTTCGAACCCTGGTCTGGACTGAAAAGGTTGATGGCTTGGAGGAGGTTCGCAATATACCGCAGGGTATCGAGCAGTTGATGCTACACGACTTTTGCTGGAAGGTCGATTTGTCCCATCTGACCTCCCTGAAGAGGCTGGAAATCATTGGGGACACTACAGCGGACGAAACAATCCTTGCCTGCCTTCGTACCGCACCACCCACATTGGAGGAACTCGGTTTATCGACCGCGGATGATCTCTTGCCGCCTGACTCGGAACTCGTCAAGGAAATCGGGAATCTCGTCCGGGAGCGCTTTCCCGTATTCTCCCGCATCTATATTGAGGATTATGGGCTTAATAGCGGTGTGTTGGGCCATGAAGCACTCGCCGGCATACATGTGGCGTTGAAACCGGCCGTAAGCAGAAAATCATGATGGCATGTCGTGCTCGTTCTCACAAATTTCTACAGTCGTACTTCACCCAGTACAAACCTCCGTACGGGGAGATGCAGCGCAGGCGGTGAACGACGCCGACAGGATAGTCGTCTGCAGTGTCTGGACATGGTTATACTCACGTGCATTCACATCACGAAACTACAACCACTAACGTATGGCATACATGATCTAAGCATCAAACTGCACCGTTGTCCCGATACCGAGCTGTTCTGCGCGTTCCACGACAGCGCATGCTATTGCGACATCTTGAGCAGCAACGCCTACGCTCTTGAATATCGTAACGTCGCTTGCACTCCTAATCTCTGCCACCCTCGAAGGATTGTCCACAAGCTCTCCAACCTCGACCATCTGCTCGGGTGCGATACCCGAGCTGATGAGCTCGCCAGCCTCGGCCGCGCACGCCTCCCGCGAGTCGACGAGAACGAACTTTGCACGGCGGATGAGCTCATCGGGAGCTTCGCGCATGGTAGGTTTGTAGCTGCCGACGAGGATAACGTGCGCGCCGGGCTTTATCCACTCGTTCTCGAAGAGTGCGACCGTTGAGCTTGTTGCCGCCACGACGATGTCGGCGTCCCGCACTGCTGATTCGACTTCGTCACGGGTAGTCTGTGCGACTGCAGAGAATGTTGCGTTGGAGTGCAATTTCGTCAGATGATTGACCAGATCTGTAGACCGATCGTTGAGCGCGCGGTTGACGATGGTGCACTTCTGTAGCGACGGGTATAACGCCAGAAGCAGCCCGACGTGTGCTTTAATCTGAGCACCAGCGCCAAATGCTACAATGCGCAATGACTTCGCGTCCTTTCCGAGTAGAATGCGAGTAGCGAGGCCAGAGCCCGCCGCCGTTCGGACAGCAGTCAAGTTTCCAGCGTTGAGCAGCGCCTTCACAGCTCCAGTCGATTCATCGAAGACCATCGTCGACGCCGGCAGTCCTGCGCCGCGCTCTGGGACTGACACAACTTTCAGAGCTGTGCCAGTGTCATCGATGCGACCTGGCATGACGAGAGTAGTGTGCTGGCGCGTCTTCAGCGATATGCGAGGTGGGCATTGCACGCTTTCATGCGCGAGGGATAGCGAGCGAAACACGCTGGACATGAGGCCAAGAAGAGCATCCAGAGATAATCCGGCTACGGCTTTGTCAACTTGGGAAGCAGACAGTACGAGCATGACGGCGGAAGCGAAGGGCTCGGGTCCAAGAGAAGGTCGGACTCGGATTTTCCCGCCGAGACCTCTTTCTGCCCAAACCAGACCTGCAACACCCCCCGTAAAAATAGAGGTCCACGGAATATGTCAAAAGTAACTGTCCAGTGCGAGACTTGAACTCGCGACCTTAGGATTACAGAGATTACGTAATCTCCTCATATTGATATGAGACCTACGCGCTACCGACTGCGCTAACCAGACATGAAGGATTAGGCCTACAAGACATACATCATAAGCAGCGCCTCAGTCCCGTGCGAGGGCCAATGAGGGCCCAGATAACCATGGATTATTTCCATACTTTGCGTCCGAGGGAGGTATATATCACATTGAATCAAAACCTTTCAGCTGCTCCTCGCAGGTATCCGCGCTCACTGTCAGTACATTCGTGCCAGTCGTCCTCTGACAGAAATTCTGGCGCTTCCCCAACCCTTGCAATAACTGTACAAATCAAGCCGCGTGATACTCTGGTGATACTTAATGTACATATCGCGGGTTGAGATGGCCGATGACAGCTGTCTGCCATGAGGTGTAAGTACTGGGACTGACTGCGGCATCAGGCGCCGGAGCGCGTTGCACGCTTACCTTTACCATGAGCGTCGCCACAACACCCTCTTGGGCTACTCTGCCGCCTGAGTTGCTCGCCATGGTTCATGAGCAAGTTTCACCTGCTACTAGTTGCACGAGTAGTCTTGCTCATGCGGAACGGCATAGAAAATTGGCGCAGGACTTCTTGGAGTCGAAGGAGCAGGCAGACCTGCAGGTAACGACACTTCGGGACAGGCGTCCGCGGCAGAACAGAACTGCACTGCCGCCCTCAGCGCTTGCCTGTACAGCAAGGGTCAATAAGCATTGGGTGCGTACTCACTGGCACGAGTAAGGGAATTGTACGAGCCTGCATGTTGATCTAATATGGGTAGCACGCTGTCGCGAATGAGTATCTATACCGAACGATCTTTGTTCACCGCGAGGAGGCCATGCAGCGGCTCCTTGCTTCCGTGACGAACAATCCTGAGCTGCTCGGCCTCATCAAGTCCGTGACTGTCGATTACAAGTACGTTTCTCGGTGTTCGCGTTCACGGTTGTACGAATCTCATACCCACTCTAGGTACAATTACCTTTCCATGCAAAAACAAGCAGCGAATAAAGGTATGTAACGTTGGTTCCGCACTCGATGTCCTGACCCGCCTAACAGCCCTGGCCATTCGCAAGAAGACAAGCAGCCTCACATGGCAGTTTCTGCACAAGCTTCTGTACGCCGTAATCTTCTTAATTGTGCTCTCTCTCTCAGCATTACTTTATCTCGCAGACCTGGACGCGTCCAGGAGCTGGACGTAGAAGTCGCCTCGCTCCACCCGTTTACGGAGACACTCGGGATAGACCTCCCATGTCTCCACGGTGTCGCATCCTTATCCATCTTAATGAACCGGAGTAGGTTCGTCGCTCCCTTCGAACGGCTCGTGCGACAATGGCTGGAACCCGCTGCCCCGACGCTTAAACGCCTATCTGTGGACCCTAAGGTCGTCATGAGTATCGCAGATGCCGTACCGCATAACCTCCACCTCAACAATCTGCGTCTCGTCGATAACGGGGGTTTCGACGGGCCGAGTCTTCGGCGTCTACTCAGCGGCACTGGCACGAGTCTGGAATACCTCACTCTGAGCTTCCCTGCGAATCTCACCGCGCCGGCTCTCGAGCTTCAAGGGACCATAACAGGAATTGCACCTCGACTGAAAGGCCTTCACGTGGAGGTTCGATACGACGAATTCCAACCGGGCGCCAGGGCCTTCGTCGAGCATCTCGCGACTATACTCCCGATGTGTCGCTCGCTCCGCGTCGCCCACCTTCTCCTTGGCGAAGAGGACATGGAGAATGTCATCAGGTACCTTCCTAACTCGGTGGAGAAGGTTATTGTGGCTGTAGAGTCGGGCGCCTGGGACGAGGAGGACATTTTCGACGTCGAGGCTATCGCGAAAACTGCGGATGCCGTAATCTCACAGGACCTGTCCTCTCTTCGGCAGTTGATGGTCACGTCGCGCGCATCTCCGTCTCGCCAAGGTGCTGGTGCAGCCGTAGATTTGACGCCTTACGAGGAAGCTATTGCTATGGCGGCCGCGAAGGGTGTCGAGTTGACCTTTCATGGACTGTTCCCCGAAAGGGTAAGATTAGACTAGTACTAGTCCCGTCTATACGTACCTGAATTGTAGTGAGAACACTGGCTCATAGCTCTCCTTCGCGGTGACCTCGTGCAAGTCTTCAGAGGTTTCTGATAATGACCTTCGTCTCAATAATGTGCTTTGCTTAGAGCAGCATACTCTCTTATCTGACAGTTGTGCCGGATAATACGACGGCACCATGAGAGGTATATGTCGAGAAATCGGCAAAAACTCTCATGAAGCGACCCTTCGGTCGTTTCGAACTCTCGTTCCGGCGCTTGACTCTGACAATCATGCGCCCGACCGCCATACGACAGCTGAAGGTCCTCGTCGCGGTCAAGCGGTATGGACGCGCCGTCCGCAAAACAGTGCACTAAATTATCTTGTAGAACTATCGACTATGCTGTCAAGATTCGCGTGAACCCGTCGCAGACGGGCGTCGACACGAACGTGAAGCATTCCATGGTGCGCCGCCCCGTCCAGTCCAGTACGCGGCGACCTTAAAGCTCTGACATTCTATATAGAACCCCTTCGACGAGATAGGTTCGTCTATGTGACTTGCGCGATAGGATTTGCGCGCTGACTCTGTCTGATAGCGGTCGAGGAGGCGGTCAAACTGCGCGAACGCGGCGTCAACGTCGAATCCATCCGCGTCATAACCCTAGGCCAGACCAAAGCGTCCGAAATCCTGCGGACGGCACTGGCAATGGGCGCCGACCACGCGACGCACGTCGAGCTCCCGGACGGCGCGGACATGCCCGAGCCTCTCGGCGTTGCGAAGGCGCTTGCGGCCTACGTTAAGCGGGAGCCTGTGGATATTGTCATATTGGGCAAGCAGGCTATCGACGACGACGCCGGGCAGACTGGGCAGATGCTCGCGGGACTGCTGGGCTGGAGCCAGGGCACGTTTGCGAGCAAGTTGGATGTGGATGAGGCGAGTAAGACGGCTGTGGTTGTAAGGGAGATCGACGGCGGTGGCGAGGAGATTAGGTGCAAGCTGCCCCTTGTCCTCACCACAGATCTTCGGTGCGTCATGTCTGTGCTACGAGACTTTCGCTGCAATTGCAATTGACGCTTCGTACACGTACACAGATTGAACAGTACGTCGTTTCGTCGTATTTACGCGAGTGATAACTTACTGACAGAATGTTACAGTCCCGCGTTATGCGTCCTTACCCAACATCATGAAGGCACGCAAGAAGCCCATCGAGAAGCTGACGGCGCAGGACCTCGGTGTCGACCTTTCGCCGCGTCTCGAGACCATCAAGGTGTCGGAGCCTCCCAAGCGCGTTGGCGGTGGCAAGGTATGCCCCCTGGCATGTACACGGAACAGCTTGTTCACTGGTGTTTCCAACAGGTCGAGAATGTGGACCAACTGGTGGAGAAGTTGAAGGCAGCTGGTGTAGTATAGCATGTCGTGACTCGAGACAAACAAGATTCTGTCCTGGCCTTTTGACAGAGGAGCTCCCCACTCGCCCAAGCAGTGCAGTGCAAATTGAGGCTCTGGCAACCACCCGGACCAGAAGTGAACATTGCTGCAACTCTCTGAACCAGCAATACCTTCTGTACTATCTGAGAAATAACAGCAACTATGCGCGGGACAATTTGAGAATCACGGCGACGTTTGTTTACTTACAGTTTGTACCGGCCGTCATCAGCGTCGTCGCTGAGGGGCATCTGCTCACAGTTTTTTCTCGTTCTTACCACTCCACACCATGCTCCGTAGGCTGGCCTTCGACGCTCGACGCGCCCCGCGCATGGCCCGGCAGTTGGCGCGCCAACCGGTGCTGCTCGGCGCGCGTCATCTGGCGACGCCTGCAGCAGCCCAGCCGCCGTCGTCCAACGACCCGTTCGCGACGGGGAACAACACGTACTACGTCGAGGAGATGTACAGACACTGGAAAGCGGACCCCAAGTCCGTGCACGTCTCCTGGGACGTATATTTTTCGGGGCTCGACAAGGGCGTGCGCCCGCAGGACGCGTTTCAGCCGCCCCCGACCATCCAGCACCTGCCCACGCCGTCGGGGGGCGCCCCCACCCTGCACTCGCTCTCGGGCAGCAGCAAGGATCTGTCTGACCATCTCAAGGTGCGTCGCCACGTGTAACGCCGTGAGCAATTTTGACCGTCAGAACAGGTGCAATTGCTCGTCCGTGCGTACCAGGTCCGCGGCCACCACGTCGCCGAGCTCGACCCCCTCGGCATCCAGTCCGCCGACCTCGACAAGAACACGCCCGCGGAACTCGAGCTCAGCCACTACGGATGGACGGAGCGCGACCTCGACAAGGAGTTCACTCTCGGTCCCGGCATCCTTCCCCACTTCGCAACTGACGGCCGTCAGAGCATGACCTTGGGCGAAATCATCTCGACGTGCAAACGGATCTACTGTAAGTAAAGATTCTGGGTTCGCGCCGCACTGACACCGGTCGCAGGCGGCGCCATCGGTATCCAGTACATCCACATCCCCGAGAAGGAGCAGTGCGACTGGATCCGCGAGCGCGTAGAGGTCCCCAAGCCGTGGAACTACACCGTCGAGGAGAAGAAGATGATCCTCGACCGCCTCATCTGGTCCGAGTCGTTCGAAAAGTTCATCGCCTCCAAGTATCCGAACGAGAAGCGCTTCGGCCTCGAGGGCTGCGAGTCGCTCATCCCCGGCATGAAGGCGCTCATCGACCGCTCCGTCGAGCACGGCGTGCAGGACATCACCATGGGCATGCCGCATCGTGGCCGTCTGAACGTGCTCGGGAACGTCATCCGCAAGCCTATCGAGGCTATCTTGAACGAGTTCAAGGGCTCCCAGGCGGACGACGGCGGTGGCGACGTCAAGTACCATCTCGGCGCCAACTACGTGCGCCCGACGCCGAGCGGCAAGCGTGTCGCGCTATCCCTGGTCGCAAACCCGTCGCATCTGGAGGCCGAGGATCCTGTCGTGCTCGGCAAGACGCGCGCCATACAGCACCAGAACAACGACGAGAAGTCGCACACGACCGCAATGGCTGTTCTCCTGCACGGTGACGCCGCGTTCGCCGGCCAGGGCGTGGTCTACGAGA